ACCCAGGAGGCGGAGGTTGCAGTGAGCCGAGATCGTGCCATTGCACTCCAGCCTGGGTAACAAGAGCGAAACTCTGTCTCAAAACAAAACAAAACAAAACAAAAAAAGAAGTGTTTAGTTGTTCAGTGTGTTTTGTGACCGACTGACCAGGTGGAGCTTCAGCGAGCTTGGTAATGGTTTGGCGAAGTGTTGCTTTCCCCCTCATAAAAGTGGTAAGTAATAGTGCCAAATCTCACCAAGACGGTCATACTGCAAAGGGCCAGGAAGCGTGGCAGTCAGAATCAATATGTATATTTTTATTAATCTCTGACCTCTAAGTATCAAAGGAGACCAGTGAGTGGGTCCATGGTTTCTGCTTTTGAAAAACCAGCTCAGTGGGTATTTGCAAGAGAAGGAAGGTGTTAATAAGAAAATCATGGCAATTGCCGATGAAGGTGAAAAAAAAAAAAAAGAAAATCATGGCAAAAACCATGCAGACGCTGACTTGGCCAATTCCCATGGCTTCCGACCAATTCATAAGAGCTATTTTGAAAATGTGATTTTCGGCCGGGCATGGTGGCTCACGCCTGTAATCCCAGCACTTTGGGAGGCCGAGGCAGGCAGATCACCTGAGATCAGGAGTTTGAGACTAGCCTAGCCAACATGGTGAAACCCTGTCTCTACTAAAAACCAAAAATTAGCTGGGCATGGTGGCAGGTGGCCGTAATCCCAGCTACTCAGGAGGATGAGGCAGGAGAATCACTTGAACCCGGGAGGCAGAGGTTGCAGTGAGCTGAGATCACGCCATTGTACTCCAGCCTGAAGGCCAAGAGTGAGACTTCATTTCAAAAAAAAAAAAAAAAAAAAAAAAAAAAAAGAGGATTTTCCCAAATGGAGAAATGGAGAAATGAAATTTGAGCTACACTGAAAAGACCCCAATGAAATTGCTTTCTCTAAAAATATGTAAGACCAGGCCAGGCACGGTGGCTCATACCTGTAATCCCAGCACTTTGGGAGGCCGAGGTGGGTGGACCACGAGGTCAAGAGTTCAAGATCAGCCTGGCCAAGATGGTGAAACCTCATCTCTACTAAAAATTAAAAAAAAAATTAGCTGAGCATTGTGGCTGGTGCCTGTAATCCCAGCTACTTGGGAGGCTGCGGCAGGAGAATTGCTTGAACCCAGGAGGTGGAGGTTGCAATGAGCTGAAATTGTGTCACTGCACTTCAGCCTGGGTGACACAGTGAGACTCTGTCTCAAAAAATATATATATGTATATATATGTAAGACAGGAGCCCCTACTTTGTGTGTGTGTAGGCGGGAGGGGTGCATGCGTTTCTAGGAGTGTGTGGGGCATATGTGTAAGCGTTTTCTATAGGGTGTGTATGTAGGTGGGTTTCAGGGTATGTATATAGAGATGTCTGTGGCTATGTTTATAGGGGGGGGTGTGTGTGTGTGTGTAGGAGGAATGGGGTTTAGGATATCCGAATAAGGAAGAAAACCTGTTTTTCAATTCCTGTTTCTTCTTCTCTTTTTAAGATTTAAACAACAGCTCTGGGGTGGTCCTTGCAGGCTCTCTGAGCGGGCTTTCTGTTGTTTGCCCTGGTCTTGGCGTTCCTGTGTGAGGCCGTATGCAGTGGCCCAGGGCATCTGGGCCTCCTCCAGGGCCTGTGAGGGTTTCACCAGCTGTGTGCTCTGCTCCTGGCTGCTTCTGTTTGGTGTGATGAGGGCCTTTCACCTGAGTGTGAACAGACCCTGGTGACAACCAGCTTCCAGACAGCGCACTGGGGCTCCCCTTCCAACTCCATGTCTACTCAGGTGGCTGATGATGCATCCTGAAAAACTTGGGATTAAAGGAAAAATTTAATTTATTAAATTAAAAATTTGTTTGTTTGTTTTAAGAGACGGGGTCTCGCTGTGTTGCCCAGGCCGGAGTGCAGTGGCTATTCACAGGCGCGATCCCACTACTGATCAGCACGGGAGTTATGACCTGCTCTGTTTCTGACCTTGGCCAGTTCACCCCACCTTAGGCAACCTGGTGGTCCCCCGCTCCCGGAAGTTCCCCATATTGATGCCAAACTTAGTGCGGACACCCGATTGGCATAGCACACTACAGCCCAGAACTCCTGGGCTCAAGGGATCCTCCCACCTCAGCCTCCCGAGTAGCTGGGACTACAGGCACACGCCACGACGACTGGCAGGAAAAGTTGATCAACAAAAGGATGAGTTAGAAAGAGAAACAGGCCCGGTGCTGTGGCTCACGCCTATAATCTTAGCACTTTGGAAGGCTGAGGTGGGAGAATCATTTGAGCCTAGGAGTTTGAGACAGGCCTGGGCAACACAGTGGTCTCTTCTGTGGAGACCCTGTCTCAGAGACCTCTGGTCTCTCTCTTGTTTGTTTGTTTTGAGATGGAGCCTCATTCTGTTGCCCAGGCTGGAGTGCAGTGGCACAATCTCGGCTCACTGCAACCTCTGCCTCCCAGGTTCAAGATTCCCCTGTTCCAGTCTCCCAAGTAGCTGGGACTACAGGCGTGTGCCACCACACCTGGCTAATTTTTTGCGTTTTTAGTAGAGACGGGGTTTCACCATGTTAGCCAGGATGGTCTCAATCCCTTGATCTCATGATCTGCCTGCCTCGGCCTCTCAAAGTGCTGGGATTACAGGTGTAAGCCACTGTGTCTGGCCATTTGTTTGTTTTTTGAGACAAGGTCTTTCTCTGTCACCCAGTTTGGAGTACAGTGGTGTGATCTCAGCTCACTGCAACTTCTGACAATTCTTGTGCCTCAGCCTTCCAAGTAGCTGGAATTACAGATATGTGCCATGATGCCTGGCTAATTTTTGTATTTTTAGTAGAGATGGGGTTTTACGACGTTGGCCAGGCTGGCCTTGAACTCCTGACCTCAAGTGATCTGCCCACCTCAGCCACCCAAAGTGCTGGGATTATAGGCATGAGCCACCATGCCTGGCCCTCTGGTCTCTTTTGTCTCTAAAACAATTTAAAAATCATCCAAGCATGGTGGTGTGTGCCTGTACTCTCAGTTACTCTGGAGGCTGAAACAGGAGGATTGCTTGAACCCAAGAGATCAAGGCTGCAGTGAACCGTGATTGCACCATTGCACTCATATTTGGGTAAAAGAGTAGGACCCTGTCTGAAAGAAAAAAAAAGTCCAAATCCCGGATATGCGGGAATGTGAACTTATTTGGAAACAGGGTTTTTGCTGATGCGGTCAAGTCAGGGGAGGTCATGATGGATTAGGCTGGCCCTTAATCCAGTGACTAGAGTCTTTGTAAGAAGAGGAAAATTTGGGCTGGGTGTGGTGGCTCATGCCTATAATCCCAGCACTCAGTGCCACTGCACTCCAGCGTGGGTGACAGAATGAGACTCTGTCTCAAAAAAAAAAAAAGAATTCGGACAGAGACACACAGGGAGAACACCATGTGCTGGAGGTGGAGGCAGAGACAGGAGGGACACAGCCTCAAGCCCCGGACCACCCGGGACCCCACCAGACACTAGAAACTAGGAAGAGGCAAGGAAGGACCCTGCCCTGGGGTCTTTAGAGAGATCAGGGCCCTGCTGACACCTGGAGTTTGAACTTCTGGCCTCTAAACCTGGGAGATAATTAGCTTCTGTTTTTTTGTTTTTTTTGGGATGGAGTTTCCCTCTTGTCACCCAGACTGGAGTGCAGTGGCACGATCTTGGCTCACGGCAACCTCTGCCTCCTGAGTTCAATCGATTCTCCTGCCTCTGCCTCCCAAGTAGCTGTAATTACAGGCACCTCCCACCACACCCAGCTATTGTTTGTATTTTTAGTAGAGAGGGGGTTTCACCACGTTGGCCAGGCTGGTCTTGAACTCCTGACCTCAGGTGATCCATCTGCCTTGGCCTCCTAAAGTGCTGGATTACGGGCATGAGCCACCGCGCCCGGCTTCCTCCACTTTCAATAATGGCAAGTCTCTGGGGCAGGGGGAGAAAAGGGTACACACAGATAAAATGGCATAATTAAAATCAAGAATTTTTTTTTTTTTTCACCAATTGATTTATTCACAGTTCTAGAGGCTGGGAGTCCAAGATCAAGGTGCAGGCAGCGCTGGTTTCTCTGGAGTCCTCCCTCTGACTCGCAGCTTGCCATCTTCTCCCAGTGTCCCCACGTGGTCATTCCTCTGTATGTGACCATGCCCTAATCTCTTCTCCTTTTCATTTTATTCTTATTATTTTTTGAGACAGAGTCTTGTTCTATTGCCCAGGCTTGAGTGCAGTGGTGCAATCTCAGCTCACTGCAACCTCCGCCTTCCAGGTTTAAGCAATTCTTCTGCCCTAGCCTCCAGAGTAGCTGGGATCACAGGGACGTGCCACCAAGCCCAGCTAATTTTTGTGTTTTTAGTAGAGACAGGGTTTCACCATGTTGGCTAGGCTGGTCTCAAACCCCTGACCTCATGATCCGCCCACTTCGGCCTCCCAAAGTGCTAGGATAACAGGTGTGAGCCACCGAGCCTGGCCTTATTTTTTTTATTTTTAATTTTTTTCAAATGGAGTTTCTCTGTTGTCACCCAGGCCGTAGTACAATGGTGTGATCTCAGCTCACTGCAACCTCCGCCTCCCAGGTTCAAGCAATTCTCCTGCCTCAGCCTCCTGAGCAGTTGGGATTACAGGCGTGTGCCACCACGCCTGACTAATTTTGTATTTTTAGTAGAGACGAGGTTTCTCCTTGTTAGCCAGGTTGGTCTCGAACTCCCGATCTCACATGATCCACCTGCCTTGGCCTCCCAAAGTGCTGGGATTACAGGCGTGAGCCACAGCACCTGTCCAGCTTCAGCCTTCTGATCAGTGTTCCTATTTTGAGCTCCCACTGCGAAAGCAATGCATCTCATCCGTGCAAAGGGATGGGGAGGAGCTGAGAGCGTTGGCACTCACCTGTGTTTTCTGGCACCGGAGTGACCCTGGAGACCTGCATTGGAGGGGAGGGGGAGGGGCCAACCCTTCCTTTAGGAGCTTGGAACTGCTTCAGATGAAATTCTCCCAGGGCAGGAGAGAGCTGCCGAGTTTGAAGATGTGGGGGTCCCCAGCAGTTGCCTGGTAAGTGTCCCTTATTCAGTAACTGGGAGAAGCTAGTGGCAGGCTCAGTGTGCCCACACTCCTTGGAGAAACCAAATATCTGCCATTAGAATCCATCCAGAAGCCTTGCATCTAAGAGGGAAGAGGGGCCGGGTGGGCGAGGCGGCCCAGGCGCACAGATGCCTTGAGAAGGGCTGGCCTCCTCAGGCGAGGCCTGGCCACAGTCCCTCCCACCTTCCTCATGCTCCTGTCATCCCTTGTTCTGGAATTCCAGTCAATCTTGGGAAGGATTTCCAGAAAGTTGGGAGAAAACAGAACACGGCTTTCTTGTCCTAGAGGGTCCTTAAAACAAATTAGGGGTCAAGTTGACTAAGAGATGCTTGATTTCAATACGTTTTCAAATGATAAGAGTCGTGGTCACTAGCTATTTGATTGTAAGGGTTAGGAGACAATTTTCCTTCCTTCCTTTTCCTCCCTCTCTCCTCTCCCTCCCTCCTTCTTTCTCTCTTTCTCTTTCTTTTCTTTCTTCCTGAGATAGGGTCTTGCTGTGTTGCCCAGGCTGGAGTGTAGTGGCATGATTATAGCTCACTGTTAACTCTAACTCCCGGACTCAAGTGATCCTCCCACTGTAGCCTCCTGAGTAGCTGGGACTGCAGGCATGCACCATCACACTTGGCTAATTTTTACTTTTTTTTTTTTTTTTTTTTTTTTGTAGAGACAGGGTCTCACTATGTTGCCCAGGCTGGTCTTAAACTCCTGGGCTCAAGCCACCCTCCTGTCTTGGCCTCCCAAAGTGTTGGGATTGCAGGCATGAGTCACTGCGCCTGGCCAAAATCTCATTTTCTTGGCAACAGAATTGCTACCTCCCTTCCCCAGCTGAGATGTGTTTTTGAGAAATACTTTAAAAAGCTCCTGGGAGTAGGAAGTGAAGCCTCCTAGGCCGGCTTGAATGTCACAATAGCTGGCTTGTGGCCTTTGCCGTGGACTGCAGAGCTTCTGTTTGGTGTTTTGTGAGATTGAAGTCTGCAGACAATGAAGGCAGTGGAGAAGCTGAGTGGGGCTTTGTGGGACCAGGTGAGCAAGGGAGAGGTCTGGGCCCTGTTCTGGGGACCCACTGCCTTCTCTTGGATGCCCCATAAGGAGGCATCATGTCTCCCCCAGGCTGGGGTGGGCCAGTTTGGGGGTTGCCCCAGCTGAACTGAGAAGTGAGGGGGAAAACCCAAACCCACATCTTTCTCCAGATTGGTGCTCGAGGAGGGGAACAGGAGCAGGCACCAGACGGAGGAGAGAGCAGTCCATCCCCCATCAGCCGCTGGGTGGATTCTGGGCAGCTTTCCCTGTGTAATAGCAGTGTGGGGGTCCCTGGCGAGGACGGGGCTCAATGCCAGAGTCAGCCACATCCTCTTCCCCAAGTTTTTTTTTTTTTTTTTTTTTTTTTTTTGAGACAGAGTCTCGCTCTGTCACCCAGGCTAGAGTGTAATAGCACGATCTTGGCTCACTGCAACCTCCGCCTCCTGGGTTCAAGCGAATTCTCTTGCCTCAACCTCCCAAGTAGCTGGGATTACAGGTGCCTGCCATCATGCCCAGGTAAGCTAATTTTTGTATTTTTAGTAGGGACGGAGTTTCCCCATGTTGGCCAGGCTGGTCTTGAACTCCTGACCTCAGGGGATCAGCCCACCTCAGCCTCCCAAAGTGCTGGGATTATATGCATGAGCCACTGCACCCTGCCCAAGTTTATTCCTTTGGTCCTGTCTCAGATTTACTCACCCTGGGAGAACCTTCCTTCAAGACCAATTGCCCCCGCCAGGTTTTTGTTTTGCAAATTGATCAAATAATAATAGAGCCTCCCCTAAGCTGGGAGAGGAATTCCACTTGGAGCTCAGCATCTAGGCAGCAGAGCCCAGGGAGGGGCCAGCCGTTCAAGGCAGAGGCTCTCCGCACGCACTTCTGAATTTGGTGAACGAATCGGGGCAGCAGGGCAGCTGAGAGCTCCTCCCAGCTTTTAGGCTGCAGGCTCAGTTTCAATTCCAGTCTGGGGAGCCAGTCCTGTCATTCTTTGCCAACCCACTCTGGGGAGATTGTGGGCCTTGGCATTTGGCCTCCCTGGGCTGGGCCTGAGGCCCTGGCCCTCTGCCCGCCCAGGAATCCAATGGCTCAATGAGGGCAGCCCGAGAAGAAAACGCAGCTGTATTCCTGCCTTTCCATATTTCTTTTTGAACTTTTTTTTTCTTTTTTTTTGAGATGGAGTTTCCCTCTCGTTGCCCAGACTAGAGTGCAACGGCGTGATCTCGGCTCACTGCAACCTTCGCCTCCCGGATTCAAGTGATTCTCCCGCCTCAGCCTCCCGAGTAGCTGGGATTACAGGCGTGTGCCACCACATCCAGCTAATTTTGTATTTTTAGTAGAGATGGGGTTTCTCCATGTTGGCCGGGCTAGTCTCAAACTCCAGACCTCAGGTGATCCGCCTGCCTCAGCCTCCCAAAGTTCTGGGATGACAGGAGTGAATCACCGAGCTCAGCTAACTTTCTTTTTTTATTTGAAGTTTCACACATACAGAAAATCATAAATCTTATTAAAGGAGAATTTTGTTTTGTTTTGTGTTTTGTTTTGATTTTTTTAAAGGAGAATTTTTTAAAAGGTTATAGTATCCCTGTAACAGATCTTGATGAATAATATAAAATAAAAATAAAACATTCAGGTGCGGTGGCTCACACATGTAATCCCAGCACTTTGGGAGGCTGAGGTGGGTGGATCATAAGGTCAGGAGTTCGAGACCAGCCCGGCCAACACAGTGAAACCTCCTCCCTACTGAAAATACAAAAAAATTACCCGGATGTGGTGGTGGGCATCTATAATCCTGGATACTCAGGAGGCTGACACAGGAGAATTGCTTGAACCTGGAAGGTGGAGGTTGCAGTGAGCGGAGATCGCGCCACTGCACTCCAGCCTGAGCGACAGAGCAAGACTTCATCTCAGAAAAAAATAAAAGATAAAAATAAAACAAAATAAGATTTAAAAGGGTGTAATGATAACTCACACACATGAACTGTAGCCTGAGAGACATAGTGAAACCCTGTCTCTACAGAAAAAAAAAAAAAAAAAAAAAAATGCCAGGCACAGTGGCTCATGCCTATAATCCCAGCATTTTGGAAAGCCGAGGAAGGAGTTTGAGACCAGTCTGGGCAACATGGTGAAACCCCGTCTCTACTAAAAATACAAAAATTAGCCAGGCAGGTGGTGAGCCAATATTGTGCCACTGCACTCCAGCCTGGATGACAGAGCAAGACTCAGTCTCAAAAAAAAATGTAATCAAAGAGTATATATGTCTGTCTATGTATGATTTTTTGTCCCTCAGCAAAATGTTTCTGAGATTCATGTAGTTGGATATTTCAATAGTTCATTTCTTTCTTTCTTTTCTTTCTTGCTTTTTTTTTTTTTTTTTTTTTTGAGACTTTGTCTTGCCCCGTCACCCTGGCTGAAGTGCAGCAGCACAATGGATCTCTGCTCACTGCAACCTCCACCTCCCAGGTTCAAGCGATTTTCCTGCCTCAGCCTCCCAAGTAGCTGGGTTTACAGGCATGCAGCACCACACTTGGCTAATTTTTATATTTTTGGTAAAGATGGGGTTTTGCCATGTTAGCCAGGCTGGTCTCAAACCCCTGACCTCAAGTGATCTGCCTGCCTCAGCCTCCCAAAGTGCTGGAATTACAGGCGTGAGCTACTGTGCCCGTCCAATAGTATTTTATTTCTTTTCACTGCAGTTCAGTATTCCATTGGAGGAATAGACCACAATGGGTTCATTCTACCACTGCTGGGCATGTGGGTGGTTTCCAGGTTACAGGAAATAATAGCGCTGCTATGAGCAGTCTTGTGCGTGTCTCCTGATGCATTCGTCAAGCCATTCTCCCACCTCAGCCTCCTGAGTAGCTGGGACCACAAGTGCATGCCACCACGCCAGGCTAATTTAAAATTTCTTTTCATAGACATCAAGTCTTGCTATATTGCCCAGGCTGGTCTCAAACTCCTGGACTCAAGTGATCCTCCTGCTTTAGTCTCCCAAAGTATTGGGATTATAGGCATAAGCCACCATGCCCAGCAGGATTCTGTGACATACATACTATCTTGGCTCAAATGTCACCACTCAATGATGTTTTACCTGACATAAAGAAATTTGGGGGCCCGATGAGGTGGTTCACACCTGTAATCCCAGCACTTTGGGAGACCGAGGTGAGTGGATTGCTTGAGCTCAGGAGTTTGAAACCAGCCTGGACAACATGGTGAAACCCCATCTCCATAAAAAAAAACTAAAAAATTATCCGGATGTGGTGGCATGTGCCTGTAGTCCCAGCTACTCAGGAAGCTGAGGTGGGAGGGTGGCCTGAGCCTGGGAGATCAAGGCTGCCAGTTAAAAAAAAAAAAAATCATCTTTTTCTTTTCTTTTTTTGAGACAGGGTCTGGCTCTGTGGCCCAGACTAGAGTGCAGTGGGGCAATCTTGGCTCACTGCAACCTCCACCTCTCAGCTTCAAGTGATTCTCTTGCCTCAGCCTCCCAAGTAGCTGGGATTACAGGCATGTGCCATCATGCCTGGATAATTTTTGTATTTTTAGTACAGATGAGGTTTCACCATGTTGGCCAGGTTGGTCTCGAACTCCTGACCTTAGGTGATCTGCCAGCCTCGGCCTCCCAAAGTGCTGGGATTACAGGTGTGAACCACTGCATCTGGCAAAAAGAGAAATTTGGAATAAACAAAAAGATTATTTTTAAAGGTTATTGATGTCTTCAGTGGAAAACGAAGCACTGTTTGGATAAGAGGCTTCCTGCTGTCTAACTCCAGCCTGACATTGTCTTTGTGCTAGTTGATGGTGCTCTAAGTCATAGAGAACCCATGGCAATGCAATCCATACCGTCTATGGACATGCAAATACATTTTGTCAGGGGAGGTTCCACTGGCCTCCCTTCTCCACTGTGGAAGAAGCCAGTTTGGCATCTATTTGCAAATTCATTTGAACGTTCCTGATCTAGAAATGTATCTGTTCTTTCTTCTCCTTTGAACTGGTTGTAACCTCTGCCTGGTTCCCTCACTAATAATGAGTTAATAAAATCCTTAATACAGATTCATCATTTTACTTATTTATTTATTGGAGATGGAGTTTCACCCTGTCACCCAGGCTGGAGTGCAGGGGCAATAACTTGGCTCACTGCAATCTCCGCCTACCAGGTTCAAGCAATTCTCCTGCTTCAGCCTCCCGGGTAGCTGAGATTACAGGTGCATGCCTCCACACCTGGCTAATTTTTGTATTTTATTAGAGATGGGGGTTCACCCTTTTGGCCAGGCTGGTCTCGAACTCCTGACCTCAGGTGATTTGCCTACCTTGGTCTCCCAAAGTGCTGGGATTAGAGGTGTGAGATTCATCATTTAAAATCTTTTTGAGACAGGGTCTCACTTCAGTCACCGAGGCTGGAGTACAGTGGTGCGATCACTGCTCACTACAACCTCAACTTCCTGGGCTCAGGTGATCCTTCCACCTCAGCCTCCTGAGTAGCTGGGACTACAGGCATGCGCCACCATGCCCAACTAATTTTTTATATTTTTAGTAGAGACAGGGTTTTACCATGTTGCCCAGGCTGATCTTGAAGTCCTGGGCTCGAGCAATCTGCCCTTACCTCAGCCTCCCAAAGTGGTGGGATTACAGGCGTGGGTCACCACACCCAGCCTAAAATATATGTTACCTTTTTTGAGAATGATCTTTTCACACTGACCTCCCCATCAGAGGTCCTCTCAGGTCTCTGTATCTCACCACTCTGTTTCATTTTCTTCCAAGCCTGATTATCACCTGAGATTATTTTGTTCATCTATTTCTTTTTCTTTTTCTTTTTTCTTTTTTTTTTTAAAGACAGAGCCTCTGTCTCCTGGGCTGGAGTGTAGTGGCACGAACTCGGCTCACTACAATCTCTGCCTCCCGGGTTCAAGTGATTCTTCTGCCTCAACCTCTTGAGTAGCTGGGATAACAGGCACCTGCCACTATACCCAGCTAATTTTTTGTATTTTTAGTAGAGACAGGTTTCACCATGTTGGCCAGGCTGGTCTTGAACTCCTGACCTCATTATCCACCTGCCTCGGCCTCCCAAAGTGCTGGGATTTTAGGCGTGAGCCACCGCACCCAGCTTGTTTATCTATTTCTTTACTTACAGTTGGTTTGTTGGTTTTTCGTCTTTTGGCCATTGCACATAGTAGACACTCAAAAGAAAGAAATGAGTGAATGGAGGTAGGTGAGGCAGCGGCTGGGCTGTGACTCTCCCCACGCCCTTCCCTCCTCTCCCGCAGGGCCATCTGTCTTGCCTGCGTTCAGCCCACGGTGTTCCCATGGAGCCTCTCCTTCAGGTCAGACAGGGACAAGCCAAGCTCTGCACCGGAAGTTTCGACAGGTAAATCAATCATGCTTTTACGGTTGGCATCAGGCTTTGGGCATTTCCCCAGCGAGCAGACTGAGAACCAACCTGCTGGGTGACACTGGGCAACTTCAGAAGTGAGAAAGCCTTCCGAAGCCTTCACCAAAGCGCGGGATTTCAGGAAGCGACATTTCTGCAGGCTGAGTGCTGGAGCTCTCGTGGCTGGCTGGGGCCAGAGTGAGGGCTGGGCCTGGCCTCTGACTCAGAGCTCGGTGCACGTTTCAGTCATAAAAACCAGCACAGGGAGCATGTGTCATGTGCCAGGCCTGTCTTGGGGGATTTGTTTCTATGATTTAACTTATCCTGACGAGACTTTTAGATGATGAAGTGAGGTCCAGAGGAGTCAGTGACTTGTCTGAGTTTTCATAGCAATGAGTGGTAGAGTCAGGATTTCACCCTCTGGAGCCTCTACACTTAGTCACCCTGCAGACAGATGACACTGTGGGAGTGACACGTCTTTGCTGAACACTCATTCTGGGCTTGGCCCTTTGCTGAGGGTGTCACATGCATCATCTCATTTCATCTTTTTTTTTTTTTTTTTTTCTGAGACGGAGTCTTGCTCTGTTGCCCAGGCTGGAGTGCAGTGGTGCAATCTCAGCTCACTGCAACCTCCACCTCCCGGCTTCAAGCAATTCTCCTGCCTCAGCCTCCTGAGTAGCCAGCCACTGCACCTGGCCCGTATTTTTTTTTGAGACAGAGTTTCGCTCTTGTTACCCAGGCTGGAGTGCAATGGCGTGATCTCGGCTTACCGCAACCTCTGCCTCCTGGGTTCAGGCAATTCTCCTGCCTCAGCCTCCTGAGTAGCTGGGATTACAGGCACGTGCCACCATGCCCAGCTAATTTTTTGTATTTTTAGTAGAGACGGGGTTTCACCATGTTGACCAGGATGGTCTTGATCTCTTGACCTCGTGATCCACCCGCCTCGGCCTCCCAAAGTGCTGGGATTACAGGCGTGAGCCACCGCGCCCGGCATGGCCCGTATTTTTTAAACTGCACATGAGTATCCCATTTCCATGCCA